ATTGGGGGGGGGGGTGCTCTGCTGCTGCTGCATCCACCCCAGGGAAGTGGGGGAGGAGCATGTGCCCACGGATCTGCACAGGGAAGGGTGGGCTGGGGCCAGGGTGGGGCCGGGCTATTCCCAGCAGGTGGGAGGGCAGGGGAAAGTTTGGCCTTGGGCTGCACTTGGGGCAGGCAGAAGCGCTGGGAGTGAGGTATGGGTGGGGGGGCTTCAGCCACCACAAAATTTGCTGTAGCCCCCCATAGCCCCCTCTCCCAGTGCCACCACTGCCCATTCCAAGTGCAGCCTTGGCCCAACTCCTCCCCCCAAACTCACCAGGAAAAGCCCAGTGCCACCCTGGCCCCAGCCCACAGCTGCAATCCGCCCCACCCAGATCCATGGGCACATGCCCCCCCACCATTACCCTCCCAGGGTGCAGACAGCAGTGGAAGCTGCCCCCTCTCCTCCACAACCCTTGGACTCTGCCGCAAGCCGTGGCTCTGTCCTGTACCCTACCTCGCCCTGCCCTGGCTGGGCAGCTCCTACCCCAGCCCCACTCCCTCACTGTGGGGGCCTTGAGCTGCCCCACCATGCCCCTTCCCTCCTCTTCCACCACAACAGACTTACTAGTTGCACACAGCTCTCCAAGCTTCCAGCCTATGCTCCTCACCACCTACATGCTGCACTGTGGCTGCGCACACGCATGGCCATTTATCAGCCAAATTATTGGCCACATCAGGGTGATTTCCAATGCAGTAAATTTTGTTTATATTGGTGCCGATCCTGTATCAAACTGATGTATCGGTGCACCTGTAATCACGTACATTTTGTTCTGGTCTGTGAAAGAGATGCATAAGGATGCACCTTGTCTGTCTAGTACAGGGCTGTCAAACTTATGGTCTGCAGGCTGCATTATGTAGCCTGGTTCCTAGAGGGGCCAGGAATTCGCGGCATGCCATAGAAATCCTAACATGCATGTCAGTGGTGGGGGGGTGAGAAACAGTTTTAACCCCCATACCATCGCTCACCTTCTTGCAGTCCAGACCCAGTCGGGGGACAGGGTGATGTTGACACCTGTGGCCTAGGCAAACACAGTAGTCCAGAATGCCCAGTTTCCTTTCAAAGGGCATATCTAGTTAATGGCTTGATCCTTTGCTTAATGTTCTGTTCAGTGCAGACCATGTATTAATGTCTTTTATTTCAGAAGAAATATAATGTAAGAAAATCAAAGGTACTGGTATGCCTTTCAGTCAGACGTGTGAAATCTATTTTATATAGTTAATTGCAAAACATGCCAGCTGCAAGGTTTTTAATTGCCTGAAATTTAGTTGTAAAATTGACACCATATGTTACAATTTGACAAATTTGCATAGTAGTAATAAACCAGAGAAGACCTAATTTTAGTTCCTCCTCCAGTTTTATGTGGGGGCAAGGGGTGTGAGTGTCTTCTTCAAACAGTGAACATGAAATTGTTAGGATCACAGGTATTTTAATGCGGGTGTCCTGTGTGTTTCAGTGGTCGAAGGATTATCTTTGCTGGATTTGGGAGTCTCTCCATATTCTGGAGATATTTTTCATGAAGTAAGTGTTCATGTTTCATATTTCTAGGCTTCTAATTCATATTATTATAGGGGGAAAACTGCTGTCTTGAAAGCTTCTAGTATCTGGCTGAGGGTGTGTGAATTTCATAAATAACTTAATCTAAAAACTTAAATGACAAGTCAAGCGTAGAGGTGCACTGATGTATTGGTTCATATCATATTAGCACCGATAAAGGGAAAATTGACATTATTGGCAATGGGCTTTTTTTGGCTGATGTGGCTAATGATGATGTCACCAATAAATGCCATGTGTGTGCATGCAGTCGCAGCATGCACATAGCTGGGAATGCAGCCCGCCAGCTTGGAAAGCAGCGTGTGGCCAGTAAGTTGGGGGGGGCAAGGGGGAGGGGCAGATCGAGGCCCCCATGGTGAGGGAGGGAGTGGTGCTGGGGCAGGTGCTGTCTAGCCAGAGTGGGGTGGGGCGTGGGATGGAGCTGCAGGAGGGCTGCTCCTGCAGCTGCATACACCCCTGGGGGAGGCATGGGGGGCATGTGCCCCCCGGTTTATATGCGGGGTGATGGCAGACTGCTGCTGCAGGTTGCGCCAGCCTCTTCCTGGTGGGGGGTTTAGGCCGGGGCTGTGCTCATGGCGGGTGAGGGCAGGGCAGGTGGCGGTGCTGCGAGTGGGGAGTATGGTGAATTTTGGGGTGGCTTTAGCCCACCCTGTAGCCACCCTTCCCAGCGTCACCGCCGCCCACCGTGCCCCTGCCTGCCCTGAGCATAGCCCCAGCCCAGCTCCCCGGCTAGGAAGTGACTGATGCAGCCCATGGGCCCAGCCCACCCTCGTCCCGCGCACAAACTCAGGGGGCACATGTCCCCCATGCTCCCACCAGAGGTGCACACAGCAGTGGGAACTGCACCCCTGGGACAAGCCGCCTGCGGCTCCATCTTATGCCCCACCCTGCTCTGGTTGGACAGCGCCTGTCCCCTTACCATTCCCTCTTTCACCATGGGGGCCTTGATCTGTCTCCCTATGCCCTGCCCCTTCTTCCCCACAGATTTACCCACTGGACACTGTTCTCTAAGCTACTGGCTTGCATATTGGCAGTCGGTTTGGTATTGGCCGATATGGCTGGTTAATAATCATCCATCAGTATTGGCCAAAAAAAAATCTTTATCAGTGCATGTGACCTAGTCATGTGACCTTCTGTATAACAAATGCATTCATCGACAAGCATCTGGTGTTGGCAGCACAGCTGTCTGCTATAAAAATTGTTGGACTTGTAATTAATGATTGATTGCTACTGCATGCAATAAAATCAGGGCCAAAAATATTCAGAAAAAAACAAATGCTCTGCATGCAGATGGTCCTAGTAGTAAGGAAAGGAACAGAAAGTTTAGAAATTTTTACTGGCAGTATAAACAGAATTGTTCACAGACAAATTAATGTTTGCATTTTCTAAGTTTACTGACTCGCTGTAACATGAGAAGCACATTAGTTTCTAATTTCCTTCACAGGAGTCTCTGTGATGATCATTATTAATCCAATACGGACAAGTACAAGCAACCCCTGCTTAGTGCTCTTAATCGATTCCCTAAAAACTGAGTGTTAAGCAGAATAGTGTTAAGCGAAATCCATTTTCCTATAAGAATTAATGTAAATAAATGTAATTCATTACCAGGGTGCCTGGCAGCAACGACATGAGCACCTGGTAGCTCAGGGCCAGCTCAGCCAGCGCCACACCATTCCTACCCACATAGGCATGGACTGCGGAGGTGGTGCTGTTGATGCCCTCCATGCTGGGTGGTGGGAGATGGGGGTGGTCATGCCCAGAGTCACGGTCACTTCAGGCAGTGGGAGCAAGGCTCAGTGCCTGGAGTTCCCCCACCACAAGTCATAGCTCCACTGGGCACGGGTGGGCTAAATTGTATAACAAGGCTGCGCGTTAACAATGTGCTGTGGTGCTAGTGTATGCTCCCTGCCTGATGCCCATGAGCACTATAACAAAACTGCTTGAGCGCTAAGTGGAATCAGGTATGAATGTTAAAGGAACGTTGTAGCAAAATAGCGCTAAGTGAAACAGTGTTAAGCGGGGGTTGCCTGTATATGCCAGCTATCATCCATGGCAGCAGCCCTAACAGTGGGATTGTAGCTATGGAGCGGTCAGTTCTAAACATGATTACCTTTGCAGATATATCAGTGCAAGCTGTAATAGGCCAGTGCTCTTCCTGTTCCACCACATGAGGGCATTATCCTCTAAGCATTTGTACATATGAAAAAGTTTGCAGACATGGAGGGCCTTATTAAGCTCATACATAAACATTTACATGCAAGATCAGAGTTGTGGTCTGCTGAAGGGGAAGAATTAAAAAAAACAAACAAACACAAAAACAAAAACTTGTGGTGCAGTAATGTAATGACACAATAAATGCATGAGTTCATTCTTGGGCATACCTTTTTAATGGTCTGATCTTGCAAACACTGCTGGGTCTAGTCCTAACCACTGCAGGTGTTACTAGTGAAATTAGTGGGACATCTCACAGCAGGAAGAATTTAAGGATCAGGGCCATGGTTGGTAGGGGTTCATTTTTGTCTTAAATTCTGTTTTTTTAAACTGTAATTATGCCTCATTGATTGGACTTGCACATTTATTCAATCGGAGTCATTTTGAAAATCCTACATACTTTAGTAAAAGCCTTCCTGTTGTTTAACAAAGGGCTTTCCTTTATCCCCATCTTTTCTTCTCCAGGTGAAATAAACCCCGTTCCCTTGGTCTCTCCTCAGAAGTCATGTTCCCCAGCCCCCCGAACCATTTTTGTTAACCTCTGCTGGACTCTCTGCAACTTGTCTGCAGCCTTTCTGTAGTGAGGGGCCCAAAACTGGACACAGTACTTGGCCAGTACAGAATAGAGGGGAATAATGACTTCCCTTGATCTGATGGCAGTACTCCTGTGGCAAGGCATCTTTGGTGCCCGCCACTGAAGGGCTAGAACTGGCAGCAGAGCAGCCTGCAGGTGGCTCCATTCCCCAGCAGGAGGCTGCCTGATTGGGAAGTGGGACCAGCTGCCTGATATAAGAACAGGCCCTGAGTAGTGGGGCCAGCAGTTTACTGCTAGCAGCTGTAGGAAGAACATCACCTGGCTGGAGCTGCTGCTCATATAACCTCTTGGAGGTACAGGGCAGGAACGGTGGTGGTGGTAGGAGGTTCCTGGTCCTGGGGCATGGTGTAAAACTACACTGCTAGGTTAGGATGGTGTGGTGGGACTGTCTGTGTCAGGGTGGTCCCCAGGAAATACTAT